TGTTTCCATTTCATCTGCCTCCCAAAGGGTCGGTATTCTAACTCAACCTCTCGTAGCATCTAGCCATTTTGATTTCATTCAGTTATCAGTTTCTTAGATATAAAGTGCATCTCTGAAAGTTCAACCTCCACTCCAATACAGTGAATGGTTTGTGGTGTTGACAGCTTTGAAAATCAACAGAAACAAGCTGTCAACAGTTTGTCTTGTAAAAAAACCTTGACTGTGTGTTCTGTGGAATATCCGTGGAGTAACTGGGACGTTGGATCTGGAAAGAGATGTTGCTGCTGAATTTTTTAAAGGTGTCTTTTCAATTCTGTGAGCAGGAGAAATGAGATTCCGTCCAATTCCTTTTAACTGCTTTGAAAATCTGGGAAAATAAAACCAAATGGGTTTTGTGTGTGTGTGTGTGTGTGTGTGTGTGTGTGTGTGTGTGTGTGTGTGTGTGTGTGTGTGTGTGTGTGTGTGTGTGTGTGTGTGTGTGTGTGTGTGTGTTATTTGGGTGAACCAGTTCTGAAAATGAAAATGGACTGATGCCTGTGCAAATTATGGCATATTCTCTCAAGCCAAGTATATGCTTTCCTCTGCCTCTTCCCTCTCTTCTTTACTGACAAACAAGGAACATTTACACATATCCATGTATAACCCATTGATCAGAACAGGTTGATGAGCTACGACAGCGGGGAGTTTCAACTCTAGGGATCTTCCTCTAACCCACTTTACTAGAGCGCTGCAATCCTTTTCCTCCCCAGCGCTCTATTCCTTAATGATTTCTCCTGCTGGTATCATCCAGAGCCGTAATGGAGTCCGTTTTACTTGCTGATCAATGGGGGAAACAAGCGACTGAGGCTGGCCTTTCTTCTGTCTGTTACAGAAGGAGGTACTCGGTTGCCGCTGCTCCCCTGATATCCTTGAAGGATGTGTGAGAGCTCATCTGTCAGTCGGTCTGCTCTTTGATCCGAGTTGGAGTGCGGTGAGATGAGGCAAGGGGAAAATGAAGTGTTGCAAACAAGCCTCCTCTATTAGCATACCTATGTGCACACATGTGCAAATGGACATACATTCAACACAGCAAACAGGCCACAAAAAAAAAGAAGAAAAGTTATATTAAAAATGTTATTTGCCCATCACATCAATGATGTAATTTCACCATGTGGATCAGAGCAGGCGCCCTTTCTAGTTTGTGCAGCTTCTGCTGAGAAGGTCTCCTCTCTCACTCTCAGAGGAGGTGGTAGATGGGGAGGGGGAGGGGGAATCTATCAAATAGCGCACCTCTATCTCTGTACAGAACTAATGCAATTAATAAGATTAGTCACACCTGGAAAAACTACCAAATAACCACAATTCATATATATATGTAGGTATATTGCATATATCGTCTGTCTGTGTGGGTCATTTACTTCTGTCGCATAAAATTGGAAAAGACTTGGATAGTCTCATAGTCTTGCGTTGCTTCATTCCATGTGAGAGCATGGATGTAAATAAACAAAAAAATAAGATTTGTAGAAGGATTTGTGTAGTTTAGTGATTGTCCAAGTTATTTGTGTGTATGTAAGAGTGACAGAGACAGAGGTCCACAAAAGACAAGACATACTACAACTGTTTTTCCAATATCCCGTAGAAAGGTTAGACAAAAACACATCAGACGACCTTCCGGTTAAAGCTGAACATGTGCTCACACAGAGCAGGATCTACAGTCAAGCCCATTTTAGTCTGGAGGGTTCAAATAGAGCAGGGAGTTCAGACGCCTCACAGCTAAAGGTCACAAGCACCACACAGAGTCAAAAGTGGAAGTAAATGTTCCTGCTCTCCCATCCCGCCGCTCTTACTGTGTCACACGCAAACAAAAAAAAAAAAAAAAACACACACACGCACACACAGAAATGAACATCAAAGGCACCTTAATCTTTTGCCTCTCTTGTCAATCAGCCTTGACACCATTTTGGCCTCTCCGTGTTCTGAGCAGCAGCAGTTCAACAGCAGGGAGACGAACACTCTGCTGCAGGCAAGACTTTTAAAACGTCTACTCTTTGATGCTCTGCCGGCAGGTTTTCATTTGCTTTTTGTGAGTATGTGAGTGTGTGTGTGTGTTTGTTTACAAGTGTAATACGTATAAAATTGTCAAAATGCTTATGGAGTTTTGCGCTACAGATGATAAATTAAGTGGTGGCAGCTGCTTCAATAGACAATATGCTGACCAGCAAAAGATTAGTTCACTGTTTTATTGTATGTGCTTATCTTAAGGATTTAGTGGATGCACTCGTTACTGTCAGTAAATAGTCACATTAAGTCTGACGTATGGTGCTGAGATTGAACTTGTGATCTTTGGCCAGAATGAAGCAGCAGAGACTTCTCTCATGCTCGAATCTCATTTCATTGATTCATGTTGGTATTTGCAGAGTCATTTATTTGGAAAGCGCTTTACAAATGAAGCTGTTAGCCGCAGGAAAGGGAGTGGTAAATTCGATACTGTTGTTTATTTCACATTTGTCTCTGACAACAAACCAAAATATAGAGAGTAAAATCCAAATATATAGTTGCACAAGGGGCAGTTGGTGGCATCAAGCACCCAAGTGCCAAAGGAAACTGTGTTTTTCAGCTCATTACTTTTTTGCTATACACTAGTCATTCCCCCTGGGGGGGAGTATCACTTTGAGCGATTGCTGTACTGCTGTAACATTTTAGATGGACTGATGCCAGGAGGTAGGAGGTAGACTTTGCGATTGAGAAGAAAAAAATGTTTTTTTAGAAAATCCAAGTTGCTGGAAAATCCTTGTCACCATGTGAAACTGATGCAGTTCATGTGCAAGAATGTAGAGGAAAAAACAATAACTGAAAAATAAGAGAAAGAGTAAGAACATGAGAAACATGAGTAGAAGAGAGGTTTGCATCCTGCAATTGCTGTAATAAACAATTAATTTCATTATGTTCTAATCTGCTGATTAATTTCTCAATTACATGACCAGCTGTTTGCTCACAAAAAAATTGTCCATCACCATCCTCCAAAGCTCCACTTGGTAGTTTCACATTGCTTCCTCGCCAAAGCCCAGTTTAATATTATCAAAGACAAAGAAAACCAACAAATATTCAAATGTAAGAGGCTGGAACTGGCACTCTTGTTTTTTAAATGACTGACAACAAATTGAATATCAAAATAGTTGCTGAATAATTTTCTGCTGGTTGATTTAGCTATTGCACATACACATAACTACACAATGCAATTTCGAGCACTACTCAATGATTAAAGGAGCTATTTGTAAGTTTTGCTATTGCTACATGGCCAACGTTACCATTCACAGCTGTTTACTTACCAGTCTCATGGAAATGTTACAAGTTCAGCATCAAACTCGCCAATCCTATTCTCCAAGAATAAAGAGTCGCCAGAGGTGGAAAGCCTGTCTTGTCACTTTCCGATAGCGACTCACTGCAGCCTCTAATCTGCCCTGAAGATGTAGCGCTGCTCAGAGGACATATCCGTCTCATAACCTCTTGTTTTGTAAAGACAACAATGGCTGAAGCTCTTGTCAAGCCACAATGCACCCCACTCACTCTCGATGTTCAGCAGCAGAGAAAACTTACAAAAAGCCTCTTTAAGGCCTTTCTTCTATAATGTTTTTTACCAAACATGGAGAAATTAACTTGAGGAAACCACTGATGAAAAGAATTATAAACTCAATATCAATGCCGTTATGAAAATAAGCTTTTCAAAAAATGACAATCTCCACATTTATGCCACTTAGTTTCTTTTTTTTTTTTTTTAATAAACTGGTTCTGCTCTGAAGACCCGTGGGATTCCTCTTTTCCCTGCTTCACAGTAGCTGAAAATGTGCCTCCCCCACATTACCACACAGTTTATATTCACTTTCAACTAACTGAAGAGAGAAAAGAAGGATAGAAAAAAAAGAAGAATGAGCACAAAAGGGGGGTAACGAGGGAAAGGAGTGATGACATAACGGGGGGGGGGGGGGGGGGGACGTGCATGAGAGTGCAGGTGCGTACGTCATCTGTAACTGGGAGAGGAAGAGCAAGCATCCCTTTATGTAGGTCACATTAAAAACACATGCAGCTATCACAGATTCAGCCAACTAAACAACCAGCCTGACAAGCAGCGCTGAAATCTCGACTGTACGTGCGCTCCCAGCTCTCCACGACCGTGAAAATGAGAACTATCCCCACAGTTGAGTCAGTAAACTGTTATCTCTGCTACAGCTCTCGGAATCTGCGGCACAGACCTCGTTACCAGCCTCTTCAATTACTGATGAGTCTTGGGGAATGACATCATGTGCTCTGTTATTTTTACACAGGTTTAAGATTTAAAAAAAAAAAGAAAAAAGAAAAGAAAAAAAAAGTAGGTATAAGCTGAGCTGTCAAATGGTGACATTTCATGACTTAATGTGCCTTCCTGTCTTCTTGTGACATCACACCATCTTTGCACCATGTCACCACCCTTAACTCATGAAGTTTAAAAATCATCCTGGAGCAAATTAATTAGCAACAATGTCACAATGTTTTCACCTCCAGATAATGATAATCAACTAATATTAGTACCCCTGACTGAGTCAGTCATGTGTGACAAATGCACAAACAAATTAATGACTGACTTATATTGTATTCTTTATATAGTGACTTATATTGCACCCTCACGTGTTATCTAAAAAGTGCTTCATACACTGCAGCTCTTAATCACATGGAGCTTATGTATGAAAATACAGATTGAAAAATACATTTTAAGAGGGGTGGAGCTCAGGAAGAGAAAGCAAACTACAACATAATGAATGTGGGAGGGGGCTGTTTATGCAAACTATATTCATGAGGGGAACACATAGAAGAGGAAGGCAGTAAAAAACAGTATGGTAATTTTAATAGTGTGCTCGTGATGTAGTGATAAAGTATGTGTTTTTGAAAGAACCCTTTAAGTTAGCTGATACACATCAGTGCGTTGAAAGGTACAGTAGGAATCAGATCACTGGTGTCAACAGATGTGTCAACATGACCGGACTCACGGTGAGCTGTCCTGCAGGGGTCACTCTGCGTGCTGTCGGCAGAGTGAGCCGACGAGACGGAGGACACGCTGGAGCTCCTGACAAAGCCGAAGGCCGCCAGGCGGCCCGCGGGGAGGCGGCTGGAGCTGAAGCCTGGGGGACGCAGGCCCGACTGGCTGGCCTTGGGAAGCATAGACCTGGACGCCGCGGCCAGGGGCTGGGCTGCTGCTGACGCCGGAGCAGGAGCAGGAGCTGGAGCAGGAGCTGGAGCAGGAGCAGGAGCAGGAGCAGGAGCAGGAGCAGCAGCATGTTGGGTGAAAACCTGGTCATCTGTTAGAAATGCAGAAGATGAAGAATCACTTAGAATCTTTCTATTTTTTTGGTTCATTATTTGATAATATTTTGACAACAGAACTCTAAATGGGTTGACCTCGGTTGAACTGACAGACGACGGAAACAATGGCACTAGTCATTGTCTGAGTTTCATCTTATCTGGTAATGAGCTGCATTTATGCTCCTTTTGTTTGAGCTGCAGCATGTGTGTGCTGAACAGACAGTGCCACAAGTATGGGAAATAATATTACCTATGTGTGTGTGTGCCTGTGTGTGTGTGTATGTGTGTGTGTGTGTGTGTGTGCGTGCGTGTGTGTGTGTGTAACTATACTGTAAACTCATTAACCACCGCTCAAGATTAAGCATAGCTATAATGTTTATTTCCCCTGTGAATCATTCATCATGTGTTGACTAAGCTCTCAGTGGGCACCAGGAAGTTGTCTGTGTCATGTCTACAGCAAGCAAGTATAATAACCATATACACAACAACCTGCTAACAGCTGCTTTTGGCTCTGGCCATGCTTGCAGAGTGACTGGGCTGGTGGCCAGCAGTTCCTCTAATAACAGCACTGTTATGACATTTGATGTGACAACCGCGATTTAGGACATCGATCATATATTTTTCCAGTAGATACATTATGTTTCTAGTTTGCTTGCATTTATAGTTCATTACATTATCGGTAATTCCTTGTTATTACGGGTATTACAGCGATTCTGACTGCAGTCACCCAAACCCTCTAAAAGCCATGACCCTATCATGCGGGTTCCCAGACTTAAAACCAGAAGAGAAAGCTTAAAAATCAAAGTTGGATTAAAAGGGAGAAGAAAATGAAGAGGAGAGAAAACAGAGGGAGAGAGAAAGGGAGGATAAAAAAGTAATCATAGCTCCATAGTGGCAGCTTTTGTTACTGAGCAATTGGAAGAAATCCTCCCTCTTGGTAATCTATGATTTCCAACAGCAAAATAGATGAAACGTGCAGGCACGAACATTCAAGGGTGCACACACACACACACACACACACACACACACACACACACACACACACACACACACACACACACACACACACACACACACACACAGAGTGGGCAGTGGGCAAATCCCCAGGCCTTGGATAGAAGCCCCATTTTGGCTACCCCAGCCTGCAGTAAAGGGTCTAGATCCTGGGCAGAAGAAGAGCATTATCCCCTGCTGGCTGCAGAGATAAGGTAGGCAGCCCTCCTTTCCTCTTCATTTGCCACAGCTGTGGGCTGTAGTGCGCGCAGACAGTTGGTAGGGAGAGACAAAATGGGACAATAAGACGGAGAAAAGTCTCCAGTGTAAGTCCCCTCCAGTATCATCGGTGCCACCGTTCACACTTATCACCTCTCTTTCCTCCTTCCTCAATATCTGCCTGTGTATCATGCGGTTGGTCTGTTTATTAGATTTGGAGCTCTCTCCTCTTGAGTGAGAAGGTCAGGATCATTAAAGATAAATGTCCTCATTCTCACCCCCCCCCCCTCCCCCCACCCCCACCCCCACCAAAATCCATTCATGCCCTCTGAGAGACGAGGGAAGTGAGCCTGACTGAGAAATATCCACTTTAGCCTAGATATTACGGACCAAGGCTCCGGCTAAATGAAAACACACATTATTCATAACAACCGAAAAGAAAACAGGAAAGAGATAAAAATTTATGAGATAACTTTGACTGTCCTTCACTCACTCTGTATTTTCTCTCTTGATTCTTTAAACCTGTAATAACTTTTTTTTTTCCAACTTCTCTCTTACATTTTTCCCTTATTCCACAAATTCCTGCCTGCAAAATACATTTTACCTGATAAAGTAGCTCTCAAAAGTACAAAAATAGGACTGAAATTTATGCGTAAGTGTGAACTTGGGGAATGCACTATAAATCATAAAAGCCTTTGTGTTTTTCCCGGGCTTACTGCTTCTCCCTTCAGCCATATGAAAGATTTGAATAAAACCACTTTACTTTGCCCTTAGGTCTGAAACACTACCCTCAGTTTCTCAACAACCCCTTCGAGAAGAAAAAACACATTCATCCACCGGCTTTCACTGAAAGAAAGCGCACCCTAAGTTGAGATGAATTATGTAAATATGGCTCAGAAAAGTCAATGGGACAGGCAGCCGGGATAAGCATTATAATGACCAACCGGTTTTAATTACAGCCCAAGGTGAGCTGCGACAAACCTGCATGGATGTCCTCCACAAAGCGTTAAATTGCATATTATTAAATGTGATACTCGAGTGCATCGCAATCTCTGCGGCACTACTGGAGCAAAGCACAGGGCTTCACTGTTGTGGGGAAGGGAAGATGAGTACCTCAACATTGCAGAAGTTACTCCAACACAAACGTCCTGTCGTATAAGTGGATGATCCTCACTTTCATAACAATAGTTTTGGTTTAAAACCGACACATTAATTATGAGAGGAGTTGCAGTAATTTGACGGCTATACAATAGCTATGCGGTATAATTACTATAATGTGCAAGTGTAAGATGGAGAGATTTCCTTTCACAAAAGGCTGATACAGTTGTAATTCACAGTGATGAAGAGAACAAAGGAAAAATAAAGTGCTTTTTGTTAAAGGTAACAGTTCAGATTTCTCCAGGACATGAATGAAAAAAAACAAACAAACAACAAAAATCAACAGGAAATCCCTCAGTTACACAGCCTATATACACAAGGACAGACACTGATACACACAATGCTGACCAATGCCACATATAAACAGTGCATTTGAACTGGTGTTTATCAATGCAGTGTGTGTAGGGCAGGGTACAGCGGGGATGGGAGATGATTCGAGCACGAAGATACTGACGTTACTTAAGTGTTAATTGCTTTGCACTTCAAAGCCTGTAGTTCCCAGAGGGCCAAGCAGCACTGAGACACCATACATATGTATTAATAGGGATTATGATAAGGAAGCCTGGCACATCATAACACTATGCTGATCAGTTCTGTATGTGCAGTTTTGGGTTGTATGTGTACGTGCGTATCTGTGAGCGTACGTACTGTATGCACATGTGTGGCTCTCTCTGAATTTTTTGCGTGTTGTCCGGGTTATCGCGCTCGGGGAGAGAGCAGATCAAATATGGATGGAAGTGATAAATGCCACAGGCCCCCCAGCTGAGTGTGGGGTGATGAACAAATTTCATACTTCAATATTCCAGCGGTAATGCAAATCTGACTTCAGCAGTCAGAGGTGGTATCTGAATCATCTGAATTAGACATTCGCTGTGTGCAAAGAGGAAGTGTGAGCAAGCTTTTATTTATTTATTTTATTTTGTAGATGGCAGCCTTTTGGAGCACAGGAAGTCCCCTCAGAGTATTTCCTAAAGCCCTCCAATCACATCACAGCCAAAATTAATCTCAGAGAATGCATTTTAATGAAGCTGCCTTCATCTCAGGCCAATTTGAGGGGGAAACAGTCCCACAACTACTCGTTGCTGCAAAGGAGAAAAAAAAAAAAGATAAGGTGGCTCTCTAGTGTCTCAAATTTTGGGTTTCTGAAATAAAGAGAGAGACTGTCTCCAGCTGGCATTCTAGCTGTTTTCAGTGCGGAGCCATAAACCTGCTCAAAAACTGGCTGTGAGGGGAGTGTTTTATTCACCTGTGTTATCTTTCTGACTGGTCGCTGGGCTGACAGGCTGGACAGGCTGGCTGAAGACCAGCGTTGACCTCTGACCCTGACAGGGTCCTCTGCCCTTGGCTGAGCCCGTAGCCGTCCTGGTGACAGCTCCCAGGCCCAGACGCAGACCTCTGCCAGAGCGCAGGAGGCTGCCGCTCCCTCCAGCCTGAGCAGCCGCCCGATGCTGCAGCGCGTCCTCAGGAGAACTCCCTTTAAAACCGGCAGATCTTCCCACCTAGAAATCAAAATCATTACATTGACCAAAAACACCCCTCAATAATTGTCTTACAGCATCTCTGGAGTTCTTAAGCAAGCATACTTTTGTACAGTTACATTATATTTTCTGATTAAAGTAAAAGAAATACAGTATTTCAAGAAAAGGCTCATATGAATATGTGGATCATGATAATACTGTGAGCATGCTTACTTTTGTTACTTTTTTGATACATGCATGTGTTTTACTATAATTTGTGAAACAGATATTGTGTGTCGTACTGTGTAAAGTCTTTGTTTTCTTATTGGAATTTCCTGCTGGCACTCACTTACTTGTGTTTGCTGATCAAAGTTTCGCTGCCAAGACATGTTTGCTTTTGTGTATTTTCGCCTGTGATATTGTGAACACACTGGGAAACGCAGCATTTAATGCACCCTGCAATCTAATAGCAGACACCACGATTATATTCTACATCTATGTATCCATACACACTTAAATCCCTTTATCAAACTTTCAGTGTGAAGAAAGCAGATGATTAGAATATATGATATGACTGATTGTGTGCAATAGATAGTATCTCTACTGCAATGTGTTACTGTGTGTTATTAGCTCGGAAGGTAAATGTAACAAAGGCCAGGAGGGAAAAACTCCTGATGGCAATGTTAAACTGTTTAACATCACCAGCAGAATTCAAAAGCGAGCACGTCTCTTAACAGCATTGCTCTGTGTATGGGACAAAATGTTAACATACAGTACATGCAGTATCATGTGAAGCCTTGAGAATTGCCTTGTCCCTGCAGGGTGTCGTACTTGTGCGTGCATTAACTATTTATTTCCACATGTTGGTGCTTGATGCTGCCAAATGAAGCTGTTTAATCAGAATCAATAACGATTTTAAAGCAATAATGAGCAGCTCTTGTGAGAGTGGGGATGAAATGCAGAGGATCTGTGATCAATTATACATGGTTTACTGGGGGATAGAGGTTATGGATACCAGCTAGGGAAATTGACATGCAGAGTCAAGAAAGATGAACAGAGGAAGTTTGTCTTTGTACTTAAGGCAAACGATGTACTGTATATCATACAGTAATTCACTGCTGCTAATTGATATACCATCATAATTAAAGTAAAATTAAATCCTTTTCAATGTTTGTGTGAATGTACTGTGACTGTGGATAGAAAATCCATTGCTGAATGAGAATGAGCTCATTACCAGCTACAAGAGAAATCAGAAGAATACAAGCTTCATTCCTCTACGGAAGATCTACTGAAATCAGATACTTATTGTAAAGACGGTACAAAATACTCACTTCTGACGGCGGCCCGTAGAAGTTGTCTGCTTTGCTGCCCAGCTTGGGTGGTGCTGTATGGCTGTGTGTGTGTGTGGGCGGGACAGTGTTTGTGTGCCCGGGGGGCCTGATACTCCTGCTCAGCACACCTGATGGGAAGATGTTCGTCGTCTGCATCTCTTGACGGTACTTGTCATAGAGCAGATTGGAGGCAACGAGCACCGGGGCTCCTCTGGTTTCTGCGTCAGGCTTGGAGGGGTCTTTAGGGGTGCCTTTGAAGGAGGTGGCTGCTTGGCCGTGTGCGTATGCAGAAAGCCTGGACGGTAGAGAGGATACCTGATAAGGTCCGTCAGCAGCTTGGGGCTTAAACTGAGGATTCTTTCGGACGTAGGTAATGATTTTAGGCCGAACCCCTTTAGGTTTAAGTTTCGGCGATGGAGAGCTCTCTTTGGGGCTGGAGCTGTGGTTGGATTGGGGAGAGCTCTGCTGGCTGTTTAGAGGCGCTTTGGGGATTCCGCTTGTGCTTATATTAGTTTTGACTGGTGCTCTCAAGCAACTGTTGCCATAGCCCTGAGCCGACGTTGTTACAGCAGGGTTGCATCCTGACGGGATGTGTTTAACCACTCCAGAGACATTCCTGGAAACGAGGTACATGGAGGGTTGCCTGCGTGGTGAGCCCTGGGGTGTCCTGAGAGGGGAGTGGGGAGGGGTAGATGACCTGGATTCAACCCCGGTCCTGTTGGGACTGGAGCAATTCCTTCTGTATGTGAGCTGGGTCTGAGGTCTCTTCTCTAAGGTGGAAGGGATAGATGGACTGGAACTACGCCGCTGGGCTGAAGCCGGCTGTGTCTCCACAGGTGGAGCCTCCCTCTGGGCTGCCGGGTTGGGCTGCCTGGGCTGGGGGACTGCAGATGTGCTGTACAGGTGGGAGAAATCTGATGGTTCACGTAAAGATGTTTTTGTAAACTTTCTGTTTGACCCGTTACTGTATGAATCTGGGGTGTGGTCGGGAGAAGCAGGTTGCCCCATCTCAGCTTGATGAGCACTGGGCTCTGCTAAACACCTCGCTCTTCCCATCTCTGTCTGACAGAGGGGTCTGACGAGCTGTTGTCGTCGCGGTGGCAAAACCCTCTCCTCAAATCCAGCCTTCCTCCTTTGGCCCAGCCCCACATCCGAGGACAATCCATTTCTATGATGGCTTCCCTCCCTCTGTCTCTGATCCTGGCTGCAGAACTGAGGATGGTCATGTATCTCCTGAGGATGCGATGATGCAGAGTTCTGGTTGGCATCTACAGAGACTGCCCTTCTCCTGGTCTGGCCTGAGGTAGTGTTGTTAGCATTTGGATAAGGGTGGGTCTTGGAGTTGGATAGACAGATTGGAGACTGTGCTTCTCCGCTGCCATCCAGAGCACTGGACAAGCTCCCGCCGAGGGAAACAGCTGACAAACTGGAGACAAACACATTTGTCTCAGACTTTGACTCCTTCAGACCTCCCTTCCGCCTCTCCCTGCCTGACCTGGTGTCCCTTTTCTCTATGGAGCCTGTCACACATGTGTCAAGCTCTTCAGTGCTATGACAGGCAATCCTTTTCTGCACCTCTTTGCCCCTCTGTATCCTGCTCTCCACTTTGTTGCTGTCGTTGTCATTTCTTCTCACGCCGATCGAAGCAGAGCTGGCAGTTGAACTGGAGGATATGGACATGGCACCGTCGTCTTTTCCATCTCTCATACTCCCTCCATCGTCTTCCTCCTCATTCTCCTCCTCCTGATCCCTGTCTTCCAAGAATGCATGTATCTCCTCACACTCCAAAAACTCCATGCACTGCTGCTCAGATCCCCAGATCACTAACTTCTCAGGGGATTCCCTTTTAGAGACCAAAGGAGGAATGGAAGTTGTGCTGTACCTCGTGTCCTCTATCAGTCCTCTTCCTTCTTGACCACCGATTGAAGATAATCGATTGGCATTATCATCCCCAGCCTGGGGGAACTGGATCTGCGTTTTGTTTCCAATCTTGTCTCCTCTGTCGACATTGACCCTCGGTCCCTGGAAACTAGTCGGGATGCTCATGTTGGACCGATTGGCCATCTATGGAGTTAGAAATATTTCTTCCCTCCCTGTCTCTCCTCTTGAGGGTCTGTGTGATGATGGCCCTTCAGTTGAGTCTTCCAAGGACGAAATGTCATCTCATGAAATCTTTTTCGCTTGCATTTACTGTGAGTTAAGAAAGCTGTCTTTGATAGCTCTTCGGGGGTTGTGGTGGTCTGTTCAATCTGAAATAAAAGACAACAAAGGAAACTGTAAGAAACAGCGACAAATATGCGTGAAATACCAGCACCTTTGAGTCTGGTCTGGGCAGCGCCAATTACTGAAATTGCTGCACATAGCTCACAATCTTGACTCATATCAATGGATGGTCATTTTGAAACCAAACAGAACTGGCAGTGAGTGAGCTTTTTTTTCTTTTGCACTTTTCTACGAGCAACTGCTGAATCAAACCATTTTGCATAACATGTGATGTGACAGGTGGATAAACACACTCCAGGAGGACTACTGTTCATGTTGTAACCAGCTAGAGTGGTACAACATTAATAATAGGAATGCAATTATCAAATGATGATGGATGTTCATTGTAGGGTGGGAAGAAAAAGAGTGTGAAGAGAAGAAGAGGAAGATCGCTCAGAGTACAGGCTGTTTGCATGTAAGTGAAGGAATCACCATGGGAATGGCTGATGAGGACAGGGAAGAGAGAAGGAAGAAAGGGAAGGGTGTTAAGTGTTTTGTAATGAGCTTTTGTCCTCAGGAGACATTGAAAAATAGAATGTAGGATGAGGAGAAGGTGAAAACATGTGATGTAAAATAACGTTCCAGCCATTTTGGTTCTACAGAGTATACAACATGAGCACACGGTGTCTATAAAAGGCTCAAGTGCACACTTGTCCCTAATATGAAAAACTTGAAAATTAAGTGCGAGCGTCGCTATTGGTGAGGAGTAGGAACACCAGCTCGGCGGTGGGGGGATAAATCCATACTGTATGTCTGATCACTACAGGAGCTTTAACACTCAACATGTCTTCTCCAACACGCCATATGGCTGATTAAGCCAATGCCACCGTTTGCCACGAATACGCACAACAGCACATCCTGCGTCATTTAAAAGCAACATGCAGGATCAACAGCATGATGTACAGGAAACTAAGATTAAAATAATAGCTGACTGTGTGTGGTGCTGCTGAAACATGTACGGGCCACAGATGATCAGGTGGCAGGTGGAGGACAAATGTCTGAGAGGTTTTGTCACACCGTGTCAGTGCAGGAGAGTTTAATCATGGCCGTATAAAACAAAATGTCACATCTTTGCTCTCAGAGGAAAGATTTACGGGTGTCTCTCTACATTTCAGTCTCTTCTTAATTATGCGAGAGCTCTATGAGGAAAACCGAAGAATATTAAAGGACTCACTTTCATTCGCCAAGTGAGGATAGTGTATTTTGTTTACTTGTTTGTAAAACAGTTTCCTCCATCATATACACAGAAAAATACTCATACAGACTGACATTATTTCAACCATTAAAACTCTCAGGTAAATGTTGTCTCTGTCTGTATATTCGGTAGATATTGTATATTTAGACCAAGATGGTCATTATGTAGTCAAATATGTGTCTTCGAACCATCATCACTGAATATTTGATTAGTTTTTCCACAGTTCAAATAGCACTCCCACCCTCTAATTATATGTGCAGCGGGGGAGTCTGCTCTCATTAGCAGGTGCCTTCTCCATGTGTCCTCTGGCAGCGATATCAGTGAACTCAGAGAAGTACGAAGACGCATCTGACGCTGCTCCATTGCCAACGTGTGGAGCTACATTTAGTCCAAATGCACCGGGAGGGGAAACATTCAAGGATATGATTTGTATTCCTGAAGGTCATCCTGAAATGATTTGGAGATATTATCATAGTTTCCTGACGTGTCTTTTAAAAGAACACACACTTTTGAGAACTATTTTATTCAAGCATTGCATTTATGAAACACAAATATCAAAACTTTTATCATAAATGTATATTCGGATTCTGGTTAAAATGAGCATTTCTTTACTATACTGGTAAAATTCTGCTTGGGATCAGAGACAGTTGAGAGACAGAGAGGGAAAATCCATTGCGGTAGACAAACAGATAAACATCATGAAGGATAATCCACACATTGTCTGCTGCCGATGTGTGCACTGCTAATGTTTGCCCTTAACTGGTGCACACAATCAAATAATTAGCTAATTATAAGACACACAGACGCATTTCAAAGAGGCAGGGAAGGAGATTGACGGGAGGGGGACAGGGAGAGACAGAGAGCGTGTATGAGAGAGTGAGAGAATTCTCTGAGAGGACATGGTGGCAGATCGATTACGCCACTGATGTAGTACCGGCGCTTGTGCTGATGGCAGCAGTCTTGGGAGGCTGAGCGCTAAGCTTGGTCACAGTGGCTGAGCCAGAATAAGCTGCACATCCCCTCATAGAGAGGCAGACAAAACCAACCTGGCGAAATCCTGAACACAATAAAACACAGAGTGAAAGAACCTGTCTGACTATGTGAGTAAAAAGACTTGTTGTGATGATGGAAAAAAAAAAAAAAGCATAAAAAATGTGAAGTATCTTTCTTCAGGAGACATGCGTTTGACAGGTCCTCCCTTCTGTTGCATTATGATGGTCACATAGCTACTCAGATATCAAAAGTAAAGAGGGTGGCATCGGAGTAGGAGGGTGAAGAAGTGTGGGTGAAGAGCTGAGTCGATGTTTTCTTTGACTGGAATATGAATTATGCAATTATAAGTGCAACAAATGTGGAAAAAATATCTTTGATCATCAAGTCCGTTCTCTTTGAGCAAAGGAAACACTGCAAATAAGTACACAGGGATCATAGGTCGAGTAAGCATTGTTAATAGTGCTCCAAGTAAGAATGCCGTTTCATTTACATGTTTTCAGCATTTCTTTACCTGATGATGATACCGTATCTACTTTCAGAGTTAAAGTGGTACTCATTTTTGGATGGAATTCAGAGTATACTAGAAAGGACAAGCCCAATATTATTCTGCATATATGCATGTTGAGGAGATCTAGGCTGGAATATGTAATGAAGGTAGGCTTTGTTTCAGCTCATGGTGCGACCCACTAGTTGAGGTAACTACTCTGAACTCCTCCGGGAAAACGACAGGAGCGAAACCCTGAGAAAAAAAAAAATCAACAGTCCTGCTTCCGTTGTCATGGCAATGCCATATTCCTGGGAATCTGAGAATATACGTCTCGACCCCTGCATCTTCCATCAGGGAAAAAAGGTCAGCGTTGGAAAGAGACAGCATAGTTCTGAAGGTCAGCTTTATGCTTTTACACTCACAGCTCATGCATACATTCTGCTGTGCGTCGCTTTCACGTGTGAACTCACACTCAACCATGAATAAAGATATATGTGGCCACCAGCACACACAAAATACACACAGCACTAGAATAGCTGAGTAAAAGCTATTCCCCACCAGGTACACACTACTCATCCAAGAGCAATCACATCCCTGAAAGTGGGTAGACAGACGCATCGCATGAAATGATGAAAGCATGGGGGCAGGAGGAGATGATATCTCAGCAGTGATCAAATTCAGTCAAGGACTTGGATTTGTGATTTTTCACCAGGCTGCTAACCTTTCAGGCGCTGCATTTAACCACCGAAAGCTCTTCTCAGAAGGTGGGAAATGATGAGCTATAAGAAAATCACATGATGAAGGACTCACTGAAGGGGGGAAAAAAAAAGTGGGAGTAGGATTGAAAAAGAGACAGGCCTTCTTCATCCTCCCCTTTTTTTTCTCTTGATGTGAGCAGGAATCAAGTCTGTGTGGGTGAAAGCCTGAGACACACACATGAGGTGGGAGAGATGAGACATGCAGATGGATGCGGAAAGAAAGAAAGAGTTCGTCGCAGGAGGGCTAAAGATTTATACACTGTCTGAACCTCTGAGGTGTCTTCCTGATATAAGCCTGAGAAAGCAGAATGAAGTAATTATTGAAAAATCCTTTACCATATATAATGCTAATGTGGACTAAATTGCTCCCATGGAGCAAACTGGGAACATATATTTCCATAAGAGGTATCCTTGTTTAAAATTAATAGGGGAGGAGATGGGGTCAAAGAAGGGGAAGGGTTTGTGCTTTTTATGTTTAAGTTAATAATATTAATAATGCTGGTGATGGTGTTGCTTTTAAGAAAATGAAATATCACATAATATAAAGAGATTCAACCCCCCTCTCCCCACCTCAATAAATTTGGCACAGTCCCTTAGGTTTTCATGATGGAGAATCAAAATATGAGAGGGGGTCATAGTTGGCAAGATGCAGGGTGGGGGGTTGTAAATCTTATTTTCAGTCAGTGGATCAAATTACGTGCTTCACAGAATTTTATTTCAGAGAAGAAAAAAAATTGCTAATTCAAAAAAAAAAAACCTGCCACAGAAGCTTACATATTTCTCTTTTCAGAGCATGGTAGGAAGTGTTGTATGTATGTACACATGTGAGAGCAGAAAGATGCTCATCTGCACAGACACACACGTCAACACATGCACACACACGCGTTCCCTCAGCGTCTTTGTTGTCGATCCAGCAGCACATGTGGCTATAACAGAAGCTATTTGTCTCTGGCACTTTGGCTTTATTCCTCTCCTCCCCCACTGGAGAGCAGACAGGTTTTATAGCTCTGTGGTCCCAGGGGAACCCTGACGACGCACGCACGCACACACACACACACACACACACACCCACACACACAAAAACACACAGACACACACACCCTCCATATATACATACATACTTCTGCACAGATGTGAATTCCAGCACATTGAAGTGGAGTGAAATGGACAGAGCGACATGTGCATAACCATAATTTATGGCTCCTAAGCAACAAAATTAGATTAAGTGCAGGATTTACATTAAAAAGAAGCGTAGTAGTTATACTTAAAGATGAAATTCTATTCCTCTAATACAGTACATGCTGTGTCTTTGCATGTAATTAATCTCTTGTGACACCATCCTTGCATGTCCTTGTACACTTTCCCAAGGCTAGATTGTGGTTGAAATGTGTATGTGTGTGTGTGTGTGTGGGTTGGAATTTGAGTGTGAACCTGTGAACATCTACCCTCTACATGTGAATATATTTAAGACTTTTGCACATTCAAAAACCAGCAAATGCCGCACACACAAAACAATCATCGTCTTGTCCATTTAGAAAAAAAAGAAAAAGAAAA